TGGCATCAGCTATGAAAGCCATGTGACAGCTCCATGCCTCCGTTTTCTTGTGTGTAATACAGGGGCCAACATCCTTCTTTCTGACCTGAGACGCGGGGGACAGTTGGAGAACCTTCTGGGAAAAAACCCTGCATGTTTCTACCAGACTCAGCTCTCGTTTTCCTCACAGGCTTTTCACGAGGTCCTGGAGAGGCAGAGGCTGATGCGGTGTGACCTGGAGGAAGAGGAGAATGTCAGAGCCACCGAGGCTGTGGTTGCACTCTGCCAGGTACGTGGCCTCTGTGAGGACCAGCACAGAAGCACCAGGGTCTGTGTGTGTGCGAGAACCTCACATCCTCCTGGCCGGGGACCCCAGAGGTGGTTCAGGTCCAACCCCGGCACACGTTGGCCGGTGATCCAGGCAGGCCGCGTCCCCTCCATGCGATCCTCCTTGTCCACATCAGAAACCGAGGTGGTTGGCCTTGGTCCTCTCTGAGGCACCGTCCATTTCTGGGGTGCTAAGGATTCTTGTCTCCAAACATCCCTGTTAGCAAAGCTCTTTGGAAATTAGTTCTCCTCAGGTGAGAAATAGGCCCAGGATTTCTGGGTGTCATCGTGTAAAGTGGTGATGAAGAAGGGGTGCCGAGCTGAAATGGGGATGTCGGAGATCACGTGCCACACCACCTCTTTCCCCTGTGCAACCGTGTGCAGGTCTGGGGTGGGGAGGTGAAGCCGGCTGTGCTTGCCCTGCAGGGAGGCTTTGAGAGAGCAGGAGAGGGCACCTGAGCCCTCCTTAGGGGCAGGAGTCATAGGATGCCATACTGAGCCAGACAGAGCCCCTGCCTCAAGCAGCATCATCAGCTGTCCGAAAGGCAGGAGTTTGGACACCTGGCTATGAAGGAATCAACAAGTGGGTGCTGGGCAGCACCGGGAGGAGGAGAGGGCCTGGGTCTGTGTCCTGGCTCCCCAGTTCCTCACTGTGTAACCACAGGAGCATCACCTGGTCTCTAGCTCTCAGTTTCCCCATCTGTGAAATGGGGACAGTCATAGTTCTTCTTCATGGTGTGCCGGGAGGACTGTGTTTGGGGCCCCGAGACAGCAGCTGACACTTGGGACACGCCAGGGTATGTCGTCTCCGGTGACAGCTTCCCTGCTTCTGAGTACAGAGGAGAGGCAAGGGGCTCCTGGGTGAAGGGGAGGTCAAGGACAGCAGGCTGCAGGAGGCAATGCTGAGCCAAGCATTGGCTGAGACCAGGCCCAAGTGGACAAGGAGTCAGCGGGCATCCCCAGCAGGGAGAAGCTCATGCAGTGGTGGGAAGTGCAACTTCTCACCTGGATGGGAGCTGCACTGGGTCAGTCGTGTCTCTGTTAATCTACTAGGGCTGCCATGATGAATACCACTGACTGGTAGATTAAACAACAGAAATGTGTTCTCTCAAGGTTCTGGAGGCTGAAGCCCGAGATCACA